AGTTACTGTAATGTAAATATGTGAGAGGTAAGAAAAGCTAAAGGAGTATGTAAGGAAAAATAATAGTGGCTTCTTTTCATGCCCTAGTTTAACCTAACACCCTCATATACCCTCCTGTTAATAACTTTTTTTTAAATTTACACTCCTTGGCATATGAATTAGAGTAACTTAGACTTCCATAGTCATGTACATGGGACTTTCTATGCGTGTAAAATGGCTTATGATTATAGCTCTGTTGGCAAATACCCACATTAAGGAGGAGCAAAATAAAGCTAAATATTAATTCTTTGGTCACCATATTTTAACCTGGTACTTCAAACAGGATGAGCTGTTTTTGCTGGAGTAACTATACCTCTACAAGGTTTTCTGCTGGCATACCTAGGTCACATAGTGATGTAATTATTTAATAACTTTCACTGGCATTAACAAGTGTTACATGTGGGATAAGTCTTTGTAGCATGAAACCATGAGTGACATGTGAGGGACTAAGGTCTTCTTGACTCCTTGTTAAGTGGCTATGAGTCAGTCACCCTGATTTGCTATTAAGGCATGTAGGCACACGCTTAATATGTTCTACTGAATAAGAGTTGGCATGAGTCTTGAGAAGGGGTGTCTAACTTCCTCATGTGCCCTTTCCCCCCAGTACATAAGCAGTGCCAGCAATGTGTGACTTCTTTGCCCCACAGTGAAGACTGTATGAGCAACATGCAAAATAACCCCCTAGCTGTTCCCTGCTGTATGGCTGTGAGAGTGGCAGCCTGCAGGCCACATGCTGTCCCTTCATGGACCTCCAGCAGCCCACAGGCCAACTTGGACAGCTCTGGTCTAAAGGAAAGTAAAGTCCCCTCTACACCATTTTTGTAATTTTTTTTCTTAAATTAGTCACAATATGTCATGGATGCAATTATGCTTGTGTAAATGTCTTAATATGGACAAATCTTATTCCTGGAAATGTATGGGAATAAAAATGGGCAGTGTTCTGGCTGATGATGGTGATGATGATGAAGCGAGTGTCATCACACTCATATGTTGGAAGCATGAGGGCCAGAAAGCCAGCAACACATAGAATGGTCAATATCAATAATACCTTGGGTGCCCAAGGAGGGCCGTAAGGGCATTCATAGATGATGTGGTTGGCTGTCTGAGCTTGAACACCACAGCTGTAGCCAGCATTGTTGGAGAGGCCCCAAAAGTGCATGTTTGCCTTAAACCATCCAATACCCATTCTGAGATAGTTAAGAGCATACCAAGCCCTCCAGGGCAGCTGCTATCCTGAGAGGCAGAAGCTGGTATTGGGGATGAAGTTCTCTAGCTGCAGTTCTTATGCAGTGTTCTGGCTGTCTGCCCAGGACATACTGCAGGCTGAATTTTTTGGATGAAATCACAGAGATGCCAGGGCACCTACTGCACATTTAGAGTAAAATCTCCCCTCTGCTAAGGGACAGTGCAAGAGCCAGACAGAGGGAGTAATGAAGAAGAAGGGAAGGAAGTTTGTCTCAAAAATCTGAAGCATGCAAAGCCAGAAATGGTTCCCTTATTTGAGGGCTAGTCCACATGGTGATTTAGTCTACATTGGGTACAACTACACAAGACTTACTGCAGAGCTGCCTAATTAGCTCTGCAGTAAATATCTCAGCATCTATACATGCAGCCCTATTAGGTCACATTAAACAAATAACTCTGCTACAAGTTAGTACTTGTAAATACAAGTACTATCCTACAGCAGAGTTTTTTACAGTGCAGCAATGTACATGTAGATGCCAATGGGGCTGGCTGAAGCATGAGGTTGCTTCCGTGCAGGGGGTGCCTGCTGGCTAGCCCTGCACCGGACCACCTTCATGCCCTAGTCAGCCCTTCCGCAGCATGCTGTGCTAACCCTCTGGGCCCCCTGCCAGCCAGGGCTGCTCTGACCTAGCTCAACATGCTATGATCCTGGGTGCATGTTCAAACATGGCACCCAGGGACAATAAACTCCAGTATGATATGCACTGGAGTTTATTGCTGTGAATTAGTTGTGCATGTAGATATGTCCACTAAGCTTAGTTCATGCACCTAGAGATAAAGTGCATTCACATGATTCAGTGATCAGTGCATATTAACTGATGAAATAATGCATATTTCCTATGGCTGCTGAAAATGTAGTAAGTGAGTATGAACCACTGTTGTTTCTGTGAGTGCATCGTCATTGTGCAACTGCAACTGGATCACATTTTCTTATAGCAATGCAATATGCACTGTTGGACATGGAGCCTTTCAGAGAGCCCAGGTGTGCCTCCAAATCTAATGCTTAGTATTTTGTTCTTTATGAATTGAATTAGTACCTATAATCATATATAATTTAAAGGGGATTACAGTCAGATAGAGACAAAACTGTACATTACAGTTTATGTACCAAATTTACTTGAATCCAATATGAGGTTGTTCTCCCCTCCCCTGCCCTGGCCCCACCATTTAACATGTGAGAAGAAGCCCCTTGTCTCAGAATTGAGTATGAGGCAGTAGGGGGTCACAGGCTGCAGTGGGGAGATGAGGAGTAGGAGCCCAAACCTGCAGGCAGGCGAGGCACAGGGGTAGGCAAAGGATAGCCAGCAGGGGAAAAGGTGTTGGAGGCAAGGGGCAGGGGTCAAGCTACTTGATCCTCCCACAGCTTGCCTCCCGACTGCCTCCTCTACTGCCTCCTCTTCTATTTGCTGCCTACTACCTGCCCCACCACTACCTCCCTTACCATCTGACCCTACCCCTTGCCCTGCCACTACCTCCCTCACAGCCTGCACCCCCGCTCCCTCTTGCCTACCACCTTCCCCACTGCCCCCTACTTCCTGTCCTTCCACTGCCTACCCCCTACCCCCACCACTGCTTCCCCTGCTGTGGCAGTGGGGGAGACAAATTTAAGATGACGCTCCAATAATTAATTTCTAGACATAGAAATTACAATAAAATTATAAGCATGCAATATATAGTACCTAATTATTGGGAGGTCCTCTTAAATTCAGGATCATCCTGAATTCAGGTAAATGTGATAATCAATTTGGGGCTGATATTGCAATTTCTACACAGGCAAAACTTTCACTCTTTCTTTTCTTATTTATAGATAACAGCTTAGACGCATAATATTCCACAAATATATCATATTATTAGACATCCTCAGTTGGTATGGACTTTCATTGTGATTTTTCTGATGTCACGTCATTCAGTATGCACTTGGGTCTGGTGAAGGGAATAGTTATAACCAAAAGCAGCAGAACCTGCAACCCTGCACAAGACATAATTAGTCATTAGAATTATTATTTAATATCTGCTGTCAGAAGAAAGATTGGTATCAAATCCTGTGCCATCATTGTCAGAAGCAAAACAGGAAAAGATTTCCTGTCATATAGAACTCTATGAAAGAAGAGGAATAAATTGATAATATCATTCCTTATGTCTTCCAGAAGAAAAATACAAGAGTTTCCAGGGAAAAGAAACCACCTACATTAATGCTACAGGCCTGCAGCCTTGCAGACTTCTCTACTGTTCATAGCTCCAGTACAGCTGTAAATAAACCACACACAGAAATTTTATCATTTGTAACAGACAAATGGTAAACATGACCATGTTCTGTGTGGTTCAGCTTCGTCTGCTGTCAGTGACAAATGGGGCATGAATGGGCAAAAAGTCATAGGGAAATGCTAATGATTCTTAAAATGAATAATCCTCATACTGAAGCTTTCACTATGTGCTCTATGCTATTACTCACGTAAAAACAAATTTCAGTCCTATTGAAGTCAAGGCTAAAACACACACGTCAATTAGTGATGGTTTTGGTTCTATTTGTTTACATTACACACAGCAGTTTCAAATTTTTCATCACCGATGGCTTGATAGGGAGTGTTGCCATGGGCCAAAGTTCTTTCTACTAATAAGCCTATAACAGACAGCAGATCTTTGATTTTCCTGACAAACACTACAAATGTTATCATTAGGTTATTATTTCAGCAAACAGAACATCTACCTTTGCCCCAGGCAAATGCAAAAGGGGAATCCCTTGGGAAAGTTAAAGCAAATGTTCCCTACAACATTACTGAAGTGAAACAGCAGCAAGTCCATTTGTGAGTATCTGGGCCTTTCCAAAGTCCTTTCCAAAGTTTAGGTCAGCCTACCGAAGAACAGAAGCCATGCCATGTATAAGTGATCAGTCAGTCAATTTAAGCATCAGAGGTTAAATACTAAATACTCAAAGCAATAGTCACAGCAAACAGCTGGTGAACAACCCAGGAACTAAAATAAAAATGATTTCCACTAAACCTTCATTGCATAGTCTTAAATACCAAATTAATATGCAAAATTGCTCTGTGTTTAGAAAACTATCAAATAGGGAAAAGAGGTATGTTTCCTGATACATTTGTAATGCACTGTAATGTTAACAGCAACTCCAAGAAGCCCTCACGGGACTGGAAGAATGTACTGTAATGTGAACTACAACTCACAGAAGCCCCAGGGGACCAGAGGAAGAGGAAGCAGGAAGCGGTTGGAAGAGAAGGAGCAGAATGTGATGACAAGACCCCAAAAGGATGGAGGTGTGACACACTGGAAGAGTCAGCCAGGTTTTAGCATCCTCTGCTTTCTCTCGATTTGGGCCTACCACCTCCATGGGGATCATATGTCCCAAACAGTTCACTTCCTTGCAGAATAGTTGGCATATAGCAGATTTAATTTTTGTATTGGCTTCCTTCAGCCTCTAAAGCACTGCTTTCAGTTTCTGCAAGTGCTCCTGAAAGGCTTTCATAGATTCATAGATGCTAGGGTCGGAAGGGACCTCAACAGATCGTTGAGTCGGACCCCCTGCCTAGGCAGGAAAGAGTGCTGGGGTCAGATGACCCTGGCCAGGTGCTTATCCAGCCTTCTCTTAAAGACCCCCAAGGTAGGGGAGTGCACCACCTCCCTTGGAAGCCCATTCCAAATTTTGGCCACCCTTATCATGAAGATGTTTTTCCTGATATCTATCTTAAAAAAGAAACTGCTGCTGTGAACAGTATTTGAACCTGCACAGGGAGCCCTCCTTAGATTTCAAGTCTAACACCTTCACCACTCAGCCATCACAGCTAAACTGAAGGCCTGTCACAATTATATCCTCCAGATACATCAGACAGGAAGTCCCTTGTAAATCCATTAACACAGTATCCATCCATCTCTGAAATGTGCTAGGAGCATTGCATAGCCAAAAGACATAACATTAAACTCAAAGTCCCTCCTTAGCACAGAAAGAGGTCTTAGCTCTGTCTCCTGGGTGCACTTCCACCTGGCAGTACCCACTAGGTAGATCAAGGATGGAGAACGATTAAACTTTGGCTAGGAGGTCAAGTGTATCATTAGTTAGAGGCAAGGCAATTTCTAACAGGCATCCTTAGCAGTAAGATCATTCAGTTTATGGTAATCCACACAGACCCATACACCTCTCATAGTTTCATAGATTAAGGGTCGGAAGGGACCTAGTAGATCTTCTAGCCCGACCCCCCGCCAGGGCGGGAGAACAACAAAACCCCAAAACAAAAACGGGACTCAAATGAGTCCAGCCAGGTAGGCATCCAGCCTCTTCTTAAAGACCCCCAGGGTAGGGGCCAGCACCACTTCCCTTGGAAGTTGGTTCCAGCTCCTAGCCGCCCTAACTGTGAAGTAGTTTTTGCGGATGTCCAATCTATACCTCCTCTCCATCAACTTGTGCCCATTACTCCTTGTTATGCCAGCGGGCGCTAGGGGAAACAGCGTCTCCCCCAAACCCTTCTGGTCCCCCCTAGTGAGTCTATAGACGGTCACCAGGTCCCCCCTCAGCCTTCTCTTGTGGAGGCTGAATAGGTTCAGGTCCCGCAGTCTCTCACTGTAGGGTCTGCCCTGTTGTCCCCGGATCATGCGGGTGGCCCTCCTCTGGACCCTCTCCATGTTGTCCACATCCCTCTTGAAATGGGGCGCACAGAACTGGACACAATACTCCAGCTGTGGCCTGACCAGCGTCGCGTAGAGGGGGAGGATCACCTCCTTGGCTCTACTCGAGATGCACCTGTGGATGCACGACAAGGTCCGGTTAGCCCTGCCAACCATGACCTCGCATTGTCGGCCCATGTTCATCTTGGAGTCAATAATGACTCCAAGATCTCTTTCTGCCTCCGTGCTCTCGAGTAGGGAGTTCCCCATTGTGTAAGTGTGCTGCTGGTTCCTACTGCCCAAGTGCAGCACCCTGCACTTGTCCGTATTGAAACGCATCCTGTTCCTGTTAGCCCACCCCTGTAACCTATCCAGATCCCTCTGCAATCTCTCACTCCCTGCTAGCGTGCTCACCTCCCCCCAAATTTTGGTGTCATCAGCGAATTTAAACAGGTTACTTTCCACCCCATCATCCAGATCGCTGATGAAGAAATTGAACAGCGCAGGCCCCAGGACCGAGCCCTGGGGGACTCCGCTACCCACCTCCCCCCAGGTCGAGTATGACCCATCCACCACCACCCTCTGAGTGCGACCCTTCAGCCAATCTGCAATCCATCTGACTGTGTAGGCATCTATGCCACAGTCGCCTAGTTTTTTAACTAGGATGGGGTGAGAGACGGTGTCAAAGGCCTTGCTGAAGTCCAGAAAGACTACATCCACCGCGACACCTGCATCCATGGCCTTTGTGACCTGATCGTAGAAGGCAATCAGGTTGGTCTGACATGATCTCCCCCTAATAAATCCATGCTGATTGCCCCTGAGCATCATTTCTGATGCCGGCCCATCACAAATGTGCTCCTTGATGATCTTCTCAAAGAGTTTCCCCAGGATTGAGGTAAGACTGACGGGCCTATAGTTGCCCGGGTCCTCCCTCTTCCCCTTCTTGAAGATGGGGACCACATTTGCTACCTTCCAATCATCTGGCACCTGGCCCAAGCACCACGATCGCTCATAGAGCCGTGCCAGGGGCCCTGCAATAACCCCAGCTAGCTCCCTCAACACCCTGGGGTGGAGAGCATCCGGACCCGCTGACTTGAACGCGTCCAGCCCCTCCAGAAGCTCTCTAACCCGGTCCTCCCCAACCTGAGGTCTGAAGGCGATCCCCTCGAGTCCGGCTTCTATCACAGCAGGGAAGTCCCGGTCCCTGCACAAGAAAACGGAGGTTTTCTTTCCCTTTCCTCTGTAACAATACCACAGGCTGACAAAGGGCCTGATGATGCCTCTCTTCCATCTCTCTCAACTGCTGATCAAACTTCCACTGGAAACATGGGTATTCTTCTAGGCTCCTATTTGACAGGTCTGGCATTGTCAGTGTTGATCTGGTGTTTTCTTAGGCCTGTATAACATAGTCTTACCTCTCAGCTCCATGTTCTTGGGGAACCCTGGCACAGGACACAGCCTGTCTGACTCACAAATAATTCCCCACCCCCCTTCCCTCCTCTACCTAAACAAAATTGATTAAGATGCAGTGGGAGACATACCTAAAGCCCTCCAGATAAGGGAGCAACTGCCCTAGGTCTTATTTGCATCTGAGATGGAACCAGATGACCATTCATTTACGTGGGAGATGGAGAACAGAAAGCCCGAATCAAAGACTGCAGTGAATTCTGGGATCTGTGACGGGGAATCTGTGCTCCAAATGCTAATCAACCCACATTTACACACACCCAGCTCAGCATTTATCAGACCAGTTCTAATCTGGATTTACAAAGGACCTTTCCCACACCACACACATACACCTCATCTAACCAGAACTAAGCAAAAGTAAAAGTTTAATAGGCATCTTGGGCCAAACATTTCCTGGTCCCACTATGGGAGGCCTATTTAAACTTGATTGACTAAAACTCGGTTGCCGGGTTAGGGAATGCTGAGACAAAGGGACCGAGTCAGAGAGGTATGGGCAACATTTGAACAATGGTAAAGGGTTCATTACAGCATCCATGCCGTTGGAGCCCTGATCACAAGTGTTGTCATACTTTTCCCAGGATGACTGGTGACAGTCCTCCCCACAACAGGTTATGAACACTCCAATAATTGCCTTAAGTCTGTTAAAAGACTATAATAAGATCTGGAAAAGTCATGCTAAGCTGAGGCTTG